TCTCTCTCTCTCTCTCTCTCTCTCTCTCTCTCTCTCTCTCTCTCTCTCTCTCTCTCTCTCCTGGAGGAACCAGGGATTGAACTCAGGTCCTTGCATTTGCCAGGGAAGTGCTTGTTATACTGAGCTGTCTCCCTGGCCCTAATTTACTTCTCAAGGCTAGGGAAATCATCAGGGAGAGAACTTAACTGTGATTTAGAAATTGAGAAGTATTTCCTTCTCATTACATAACTGGTCACAGGTAACTTGCATTCTTATTAATAGGAGCTATCTCCTGGGTTTTGACCTGCCAGAGACAAAGGCAAATCTCAAACTTCCTTTCTATCTTAAACAATATTATTATTCTGAACAATAGCAGAGTCAATACTGAATTTAAATAGGTACAACCCATTCCTTGCTAGGGAAGTTTCAGTGTTCCCTGCTTTAGGGGCCTGAGTCCTTCTCATGTGTCTCTTATGCCAAATTGTGAACAATGCTCAAGAACATGAGTAGCTTAAACATTAATCAAAACCATACAAACCACATAAAATAAGTTGCTCTAAGTGTTATCAGTTCTCCCTCCTCTCAGAAACTCCATGTGTGATTCCAGAAATCCTAATTACATTGTCAAGATGATTCTTTTTTTGATTGCTTGGCCCAGTTACCATGTGAAAAATAGTCTCTTAAAATTTTCTTAATAAAGAAAGGAGCCTGGCTTCCAAATCAAAGACATGGGAAATGGTCACATTGGGATCGAACTCAGAACTATTCAGCTAATCAGTGTTGAGTACTATGCCAGAGGTAACTGGTCAGAAAACTGAACCATCAGAATGAGAACAGAGCTTGTCTGTTGTCTGTCAGCCAGATGTTCTCTATACTGGTATTGAGCACTAAATATCAAGAAATGATCTAGTGTTTCGTATCCCTGCAGGAATAAGAATAAAGAATATAAACCAAGCAATTAAAAAGTAAAGGAAGAAATAAATAAATATAACCAGACTACACACATGAGAAGTTACTTAATATTCCTAGTAATCTTAATTCAGGTCAATAAGGAAATCTTGTTTTCTAGTTTAGAATTAAAAAGAAAAAAACACCCCCAAAATAAAAACACTCCAGGTAAAAGGGAAAAAACTTTTTATTGTGCATTGCCAATGCTTTATAAAATTTCATCCCCTTAATTTCTTTCTTTTAATGCTATGAATTTTTAAAAGAAATTAAAATGTGTGAAAAATTATTTGTAGATGTGCAGATATTTTTTGCAGTATTGTATTCAAAGGAGAAAAGCAAAGCAAGATATGTGTCCAAAAATAGTAGCAATTACATTTGAGATGCAAAACAATTATTGTACATCAGGTATTAAAGGGATACTTTACATGTAGGAAATTATTGTGATACATTAAGAACAAACAAAGCAAATTACTAATTAGTATAACATAAATGAAAATAAAATTAATAAAATAAAACACTGGGAGGATACATATTAAAACAGTGCAGGGTCCAGCAAGATAGCTCAGTGGTAAAGCACCTGCTTAGGCAAGCTTAGGCAAGCTCAGGGACCGCAGTTTGATCCCCAGCACCACATGCTGTGCCATCCCTGCTCCCAGGGTGGGCTTAGTCTGCCACAAAGTCCTGGTGTGGCGGTGTACACCTGTATTCCTAGCGCTTGGTGGGGGCTGAAAAAGGTGGATTGCTCTGAGTCCGAGCTAATAGTGAGAGCCTGTAACAACCAAATACATTAAAATAATAATAATAATAATAATAATAATAATAATAAAATATAAGACATCTCAGTTATCTCTGGGCTGAGATTACAATAGACTTTTCCAATTGTTCAGAACAATTTTTTGTACTTTTCCAGATGTGGTTCAGGGAAGACCATTGTTGTATTTTATGGGAAAAATAAATATTAAATGAGCATTTTGTTAAGCAGGAGAAAATTTTACAAGAATGCTACTTTCTCATTGATTTCTAGACATGCCATTCATGCAATTATTATGAGGAAAAACCACCTCGAGAATTTCTGGAAAGGATGAAATCACTTCTCCAAAAGGTATTTGATTTTTTATTTTTATCTTTACATCTCCAAATTGCCTGTTATGTTTGATTACTCACGGCATTCTGTCTTCACAGATGATTCATCAGCATCTTTCCTAGAATGCACAGGGCTGGAAGATTCCTGGAGATCTAACTTGAAGCTGGACACTATATCACATACTCTAATGCAGTAGCGAGACTCCCTTCTTGGTATTCCAAGTTCATACAAGTATAATATATTAGTGGTAGAGAGAGAAACCTCAGATAAGTGTGCAAAGTTCGGATCATTTTCCCCAAATCATTATGCAGTACTTCACTTGAATCCATATACTACATGTTTGGTCAACTTGGAAAAACTTTCTGCTCAACTAGAGTCTAGTTTTCTATGTCCTGGATTTCGATGACGACTGAAGGTTTTACTATATCCTACTACCAAACTATGACATCTCTTGACTGGATTAGAGGGCAAAATTTTTAACCAAAAACACAGTTTGGGAACATACTATCTTGTGTTAACATTGACCTTGATTACCATAAAAATGAAGTTTATCATGATTATAACTTAAAAGGTGAAAATATAGAAGCTGCAAACACAGGCTCAAAAGGAAAGGTTGAAACCTTTATTCTTTTGTGAAAATGTAAACTAAATATTTAAAAATTTATATCTGAGGAGTTTACCTTTTATTTCAGAATGTAGAACATATAAATATGTAATTTAAGCAGGAGGAGATAGTTTCAGCAGATGGGTACAAAAATTTTATTTCATTATTAGATTCATAAAAATATTTAAATACTATGGATATAAATGTATTTATGGAATAGACTTTTATTTTTTGTTGGTTTTTTTTAAAAAAGAAAGTGGTAATAGAGTATTAAAAAGTGGGTTGACTATTAGCTTCCCATAATCTCAAATCCCTTTATAAGCTAATATTTGAAGCTTGTGAAAATATCAGTTGAAAGTTAGAGAAGGATCTAACAGGTAGCCTTAAAAAGTCTTGCAGTTGGGCCAGGGAGATGGCTCAGTAGAATAAGCGCTTCCCTGGCAAGCACAAGGGCCTGAGTTCAATCCCCGGTTCTAAAAAAAAAAAAAAAAAAAGTCTTGCAGTTGTCTTCTCAAAGTGCTATGGTTGTACTAGGAGTGAGCTAGTAACTCCAGATGCCCAATCTTTCTTTCAACCTTTCTCTCCTTTTAAAAATGAAACTTCTGTGATGAAGACATTTTAAAACATGTTTAGTTCTTGACTATGATTGCATGATTTGTATACCACAAATTTAGTCATTTGCATAAAATAAAATCAGGAGACAAATCAAGAGGCCAGGATGCCTGTCCCAATTTAAAACAAACTTCTACATAAATGTTTTAATCTCTCACCAATAGGCAGTTAATACAAGAAGCCTTCTCTCACTTCCATTTTATATCAATCCCAGCAGTTTGTTTAGATGTAGAAACTCTAGAATAATAAAATTCTCACTAGAATGGCATAAGCTATTTGAGACTTTCTTATTGTTAAAATAGCTCTGAGTGTGCATGAGGATATGGGATAGGAAATGCTTTACACTCTCAGAAGAAAATTTATCTACTTGGAAGCATTTTTTAAAAAACTCAGGGCCAGGGAGATAGCTTAGTGTCCTAAGTTACCTGCCCAGCAAGCTCAAGATCCTGAGTTTGATCCCCAGTACCAAAAAACACAAAACACACACACACACACACAAAGAAAACCCCACAGACTTACTGAACTTCTAAAAGATATGTGGAAAATCAGTAATTTAACCAAGACTTATTGAAGAAATAGAAACATAACCAGAAGCAAGGTCTTCTGTTTTATCATCAGAAACAAGGCACTCAGTTTTGAAATTATAAAATATGATCCTACAAAGAAATCATGAAAATATATGCCTATTTTATATGATAGGCATATAAAAGCTGCCCAGTTGTTGAATGTGCCAGCCCAAGGTGTCAGGATAACAGTTGAAAGCAGGCTTAGCAGTGTAAAACTTCTGAAAGAAAGTGCATAGAAAATGGAGCTTAAAATTTTGTTCCTGACTTTTTACTTGGTTGACTTCTCAACATTGTGACTTTATATTTAAAATGATGTATTTATTTGGTTTATTGCTAGAAATCACTGTTCTAACCCTTTCAGGAGTGTACCTACTCTAACAAAAATAATTTCAAGAGGCATTATCTAGTAATGATCCCACCAGGACCCCAGGAAAAGCAATGCTTTAGAATAAATAAGATGAAAGAAGGAGACTTGAACAGCTTCATCTTCTTTAGTACCGTCACTGCTAGCTTTAGACAGTTCTCAAAGTGACATAAAGATGACCTGTGCACACCTCTCTTCCCCTCTTCAAGTGATGCAGGAGAAATGACATGTTGGCTACGAAGCGAGGCCACTCCAGCTTTCTGGGTTTCCGTCTCATCTATAGAGCAAGGGTGAAGCCTCCATTTCTGAAACTTATTCTGCATTTTTAAAAACCTTGATACATCTAGGAATCTCTAGCATTCTGAGTCCCCTTCCAGGAACACCTGACCACACTTCTGAGAAAAATCTTGTAGAGTTTGATGTTGGGCTGCTCAACATAACTTCAGTAGCACTTGTAGCAATACTCACTGCAAGCACAAGGGAAAGGCTTCAATTTTAAAAAAGGAAAGCAAGTAGGAAGAAAGGAAGAAAGCAGATACATTGCTGTAGGCTATGGTAGTGTGGGAGTTTAGGGAAAATTAATATGACTCTTTGCTATTTTAGCTGAATGTGTCTTTTTTGGATGCTTGTGTAAAATTGTAGCATTATTATTCTATATTATTGCTCTGTTGTATTTACATTTGCATCTGAGAATTTAGTTTTAATATAAACTGTGTACTTTATAACTTAATGATTATTTATTATATATTTGGTTTTAGATGTGTATGTTCATGGTTGCTTATTTAAGACCTGACCATATTAAATACTACCCAGTCAGTACAACTGTCTTTTTGTGATTCCATGAAAACTCTTAATTGAAAAATTCTAGAAGAAAATAAAAGATGTCTTTTAGTTTCTGAAAGCAGATAGATTTTACATACCTGTGGTAAAGACAGACTTCTGCCCTTTACCTGCTGCGACCAAAATAGAAATGTCCAGTTCCCATCCCAGCCTCAAAGAGCTCCCACGTCCCTTGTGTCCCCTCCTGCTGTCCAGCAGGTCTGCAAGGGGGTGAAGCAGCCCTTTCCAGGTCCATCACCACACCCCATGTCTGTTCTTGCACAAAGCTCCTTCCCAAGTTCACATTTACCTCAGCTAGCATTTTTGTCACACTTGTTAACAACTGTCATCTCCTGGTTAGGACTCACTTCATTTAGATAGGTTTTTCCTCTTGAATTCAATGTCTTCCATCATCGTGGGCACTTCACTGCCCATGAGGAAGATTCTCACATTGCAGTTTTGACTTCAGATTTGAGAACCTGCATGTTACCTCATTGTGTGGCCTACTCTCAGCCCCAGCCCCAGACTTTATCACCAGGAATCCTTCTCTCACTGCAGTGTTCACATATGGAAAACTACCACCCACACGTTCTTTAAGGTCAGAAAACCACCCCACTTCTACTGCCAGGCCTTCCCCTCTCCCGTTCTCTTCTTAGTTTTTTCTCTCCCTGTTTGAGCTGGTCCCATCAGATCCTTAAACTCTAGGCCGAGCCACACACACTGCCTCCTTCCCTGCAAAATACTTCTTGAGGGCCGGTCAGACAGCTCAGCAGACTAAAGTGACTGTTTAGACAGAGCCCAGCTGCCGAAGTTTGATCCCTGGTGTGCTGTGCTGAGGGTGCCCTGACATGGCAATTGAGACTGGGCATGGTGGTGAGCACCTGTAATCCCAATGTTTGGGAGGCTGAAAACAGAAGGATCGCTATGAGTCCAATCTACGTAGTGAAACCCTGAAGACCCTGTACCAAATACATTAAAAAAAAAATCTTGTGTACTTGCCTACAAGTACAAGCTTGCTATCTTGTGATTGACTCTAATCCAGCTTTAGACATGGGCTCTGGTCCCCATTTTGGGGGAACTCTTCAAACTCCTTATATGTTTTACTGGAGTCATTTGTTCTCTTCACTCTCAGCCTTGACTACTCATCTGCTGTTTGTCTTTTTCTTTTTTCTTTTTTGGTATCAAGAATCAAACTCCAGACCTTGTGCTTGACAGGCAGGCACTGTACCACTGAGCTATATTCCTGGTACTTATTGGCTTTTAACATATGCCATTGCTTTAGGTAAACGATCCCCTCCATTTACTCCAGTCCCCACTCAGCCTCAGCTTGGCATCATCTCACATAGAAAAAAGTCAACCTCAATGAAAGAATAAGTGGTACACATGTCTCCATTTTTCTTATCTTTTATCTGCTCATCAAACCACTATTATCTGATTTGTACCCACCCCTCATACACTTTATTAAAACTACCTCATTAAAGCTGCTGTGTCTCTGATCAGCACTGACCTCTTCATTGTCCAACTCACAATGCTTCTAAGTCATTCTGTTCAATTTAACATGGCCTTTGCTACCCTTGACTGCACATTCCCTTCTCCCATGCTGCCTTGGAGGCTCCTTATTCCCTGATTGTTGGGGGACCACTCTGACCACACATTCTCAGGGTCCTTGCCTGCTTGCTTTTCCACATCTGTTCCTTAGAAGCTGATGTGCCTGAGGTCTTCTTGTTGCCCAACTTTTCACTTGAAGCCTTTGCTCTTGACTCATGAAGTCTCCTTCTGTTTGACTATCCATAGCATAAGGCTAAATTGATAGCTCACAGGGTCATGTATCCATCTTCTCCCTGCAGACTTTTGTCTCCGACTCCCAGAATGTTCACCTCAACTTGCCAGAACTGATCCCACCCTTTTCTTCCACTTCCACAGCATTCATTTTCTCCAGAGCTCCCTAGTCTTAACTCATAGGGCCACATCTTTCTAGCCTGCCAGGCTCTGCCTTTTCCTTCTCTCACTCTCACCAGCTGGTCCCCTGCCTCATTAAATCCATTCTTCCTTGTCTATTATCGCTGCCATAGACTGCATTCAGACTCACAGCTCTTGTTACAGTAACTTTCAATTGGGTTTCTAGCCTCACATCTTTTACTCTCTCTAACATACCTC